AAGTGAAAGTGATGAAGTTGAAGGCATTTTTTAATTATTTTTGTATTTGTGCTTTCAACTTACACGGGAGGAGTTACATTCTCATAAACTTAGAGTTCAGCATTTTGTTACTTTGTTTCTAGAACCAAACCGACCGTTGCATTTCTTGGGAACAGCTTTGTCAGCAAAAGTAATAATTATAAATATTAATTTTACTTAGGTTTAAGCCAGTTGTATTGTAACCACCATTGAAAATATATTTTTTTAAAAACTAACTCTCAAAATTCGAGTTGTTAACTGCAGTTTCTTTTTATTTTGACGCGTTGTCTGTAAAAAAACTGTTGTACCGTAAAGTAAAGTAGGTCTGATAACTTGTTTGTACAGTAATAATTTGTTTTTTAGTGTTAGTTTACTGTCCTTGTTAAGTAATGGATAAAGCAATCCTACTAATCTGTTGCATTTATTCAGTTTATGATAAATGTGGGGGGTCCAAGAAAGTTTACTGTCCATTAATAGTCCTAAATATTTAATTTGATTGGTCCATGTAATTTCGGAATCGTCCAGTATGAGGTTGTCAATATGTTTATCACGTTTGTTGGAGATTGGCTTGGGTCTTACCGATGTTAATTTTAATTTTCCATAATTTTGCCCAGTCAATTATGGAGTCAAGATGATTTTGTAGTCGTCTGTGTATGTGATGTAAGTACTTTTGTGAAGTGTAAATGCAAGTGTCATCTGCGTAGATGGACATTTTAGTATGGGGATTATTGGGGATGTCAGCCGTGTAGAGATTATAGAGCAGTGGAGCCAGGACAGAATCTTGAGAAACTCCCGCTTCTATAGGTCTGACATTTGAGAAAGTATCTTTGTTGAGTTTGACACGGAAACTTCTGGCTTCAAGGAAATTAATGAGAATTTTGACAAGAGATAATGGCAGAAAATATTTGTCACAGAACACATTGGCAATTTATCATTCAAGTCACTCAAGTTTAGACTTTTTAATGAAGCAACTTTCCCTCAAAAATATTTCATTGTCAGATTTCCAGAATCTCGTTTATCTATTGGAAAAAAGTCTACTCATTTCCAAATCAGCACCGCCATAAATTCCGGTAATCCAGAAAAAAAAAACACGATTTGTTTTCCCGAAACCGCAGTCAATAAATTCCAGGATTTAACGCTAACAAAACGTTACAGTGTGATTTTTTGGTTATTGGCAGCCGGTAAATATTTACAGCCATTAACGCTCATCCATTTGCCCGCAAACGACTTTCGAAATTTATCCTGTGTTAATGATCTTTTTTAAAACGAAAATATTTTCTTCTCTTGTATAGGTAAAGGTATTAGGTATTCCTTAAATATTTTCTATATAGAATTAGGTACTTTTGAGAAAAATTAGTTTTAAACCCGTATTACATCTGTGTATTTTTTTGTAAATTTCTTCATGTAGTTCAGGGTGACAACCGAAAAACTTCAAACGCAACATAAATCAACATTATGAAAAACAAAATAATATTGGCACCCTGAATTACATGAAGAAATACATGGAAAAATACACAGATGTAATACATGCTTTAGATAGAATTACTTTCTCAGAGGCCAATATTCGATGGCACACAGTGATGCCAGGTCTGGTGAAATTTCACCAGATCTGGTGATTTTATGAAAAATCTGGTGATTGGTGAAAAACTTTTTGAAAAATGGCAATTTCTGGTGATTTTGAAATTTCATCAATTTTGAATATTTTTAACAATGGCATATACTTTATAAACATCCCTCGTAATGTATTAAAATTTTACTTCATTGACATACAAATTTCATTTGTTTGACAGAAAACCAAATACACATAAGTGGTGTGTGAGATCCTTTGATTTTTATATAAATTTGTATTTGTTCTTTTGATATATTTATAGGTATATGTTTCCCTTTTTATATTCCAATTCCTGTTTTTTCCAGGCTCTTGTTGCTATTGGCCGGTTATTTTTCAAGTTGGCAATATGTATTTTGTTTGGCCAGTGGCGTTGCTTATGGGGGGTTTCAGTCAAACCAAGCGGAAACTCGAAATTTTTATTTTTCATAATTTCGAAATTTTGACTTTTCCAATTGGTTCAGCGGGTTTAAATTAATCGAAAAAAATTCTAACATCACTTTCAAAATGGCAATTCCAAAAAGCTGAAAAATCACAATTTTTGTTCTGGAAATTTTTTCAAATCTTGACAAGGTTAGGAATAATGGCCAATATCTTCAAAGAAATTTGAACAAATCAAAACAAATTATATATGGTTGGAAAGAGCATTAAATTCTCTATAAATCTATGCTAAATTGGTTCTGATAATTCGAATACTTCCTGGGCAATTGGATCTCAAAGTTAACTTTTAGTCCAAATTTTATCAAAAATTTTCGATTTTCTCGAAAACCATAAGAGCTAGCGATTTTAGCTGAATACCATTTTAAAGCCCTTGTCAAGAGTTACATTTCCTGAAAATTTTAATTTAATATCTTTAATAGATTTTAAAGTATCCAAGATCAAATATTTTGAAATAAAAATCTAAAGGGGTGAAAAATTCGAAATATTTATTGTTCATATTTTTTAAATTTTGACTTCTCCAATCGATAGAGCGGGTGTAAATTAGTCAAAAAAAAACTCTAACATCATTACAAAATCTTGATTTCAACACAGAGAAAAAATAAAATCTCAATTTTTAGGTTTAAATTTTTTTTGAATCCTGAAAAGGTTAGGAGCAATTGCCAATACTTCTATTAAATTTTGAGCAAATCAAAATAAATTATATACGGTTGTAAAGAGCATCAAATTCTCTATAAATGAGTGCTAGACTGAGTTTGATAAATCAAATACTTTTGGAGCAATTGAGCCTCAAAGTTGAATTTTAGTCGAAAAAGTATCAAAAACTTCAAACTCGATTTTCTCAAAAACCGTAAATGCCAGCGACTTCAACTAAGTACCATTTCAAAGCTCTCATTGAGAGCTACAAACCTAAAAAAAATTGATCCAAAATCTTTATCGGGTTTCGAGAAAATTTAGTTTGAAAATTTTGAAATTAAAATCCAAAGGGGTTTGACCCTTTGAAAAAATCGAAATTTTTATTTTTCAGATTTTTCGAATTTTGACTTTTCTAATCGATAGAGCGGATCTAAATTATTCGAAAAAAACTCTAACTTCATTTGCAAATCTCGATTTCAAAGGAGAAAAAAATCAAAAAGAAAATCTCAATTTTTAGATCTAATTTTTTTTTAAATCCTGACAAGGTTAGGAGCAATTACCAATATTTCCATTAAATTTTGAGCAAATCAAAATAAATTATATATGGTTGGAAAGAGCATGAAATTTTCTATAAATCAGTGCGAGATTGAATTAGATAACGCAAATACTTTTAGAGCAATTGAGCCTAAAAGTTGGATTTTAGTTAAAATTTAGTTAAAAACTTCAAACTCGATTTTCTCAAAAACCGTAAATGCCAACAACTTCAACTAAGTACCATTTTGAAGCCCTTATTGGGAACTACAATTTAAAAAAAAATTGATCCAAAATCTCTAACGGGTTCCGAGAAAATTAAATTTGAAAATTTTGAAGGAAAAATTGAGACTGAAAAACCAGGTACACACGATGAAAGTGACCACACATAAAAACCCTCGCCCTTACGGACTCGTAATTTAAAAAGACCCCGGCCCTCTGGGTTCGTAACTTAAGTAGATCCCGGCCCTTCGGGCTCGTAAATTAAAAAGACCCCGACCCTATGGGCCTGCAAAGTGTTACTGTCAAACTTACGATTTTTTTAATTAAAATTACGTCTTTTGAAGCTCTATTTTTGCTTAATTGTTTTATTCATTTTGCATTATTTTCAACGGTATTAGTGTGCACTGAGTGTATTCGTGTCTTTTTTTACTAGTTTGTATGAAAAAGAGATAGAAATACATTTTTTCTGAACTGGTTTTAGCAAAGGATTTGTTAAAATTCACAAAACTATTAGGTTTAGTCTAAAAATGTAGTAACCCTAACGCAATTTAACGTTTCAAAGTAGGCCCTGTAGTTTTTGACAGTTAATTTAAAATGGCTGGGTTGTTTCCAAGACCTACTTGATATGATATATTTTTTGCTTACAGTTATCTGTATTACCGACATCAATTAAAACCTGGGCTGGGATCACGACAAATAGAATTCCACTAGAATTCTACTTTCATGACGTCAGGTTGCCTAGCAACAGTGATCATCGCCTGTAGTATACGCGATAAATAAGTCGCGGGTGACGTCATGATTATAAAATTGTACTTGTCATGATCCCAGCCCAGGATTGATTCAAGGTTCACTTAGTTTTTGATAAATAGTAATCTTATCGCTTGTCATAAATGATATTTGACATTTTGCCCAACAGTGTTGCCGATGTTTATATAATTACTGTTATGGAAAATTTGAAATTTGCAAGGCCTACTTGGGCTTTTTTTTTATATAAATTCGAGCCTCAATGATTGACACAATATTTTGTTATGAGTTGTAGTTGGCAACACTGTTTGACAAGGGACAAAGTAGGCTTTACAAAATTTTAAAATTTAAATATGGCGCCCTTTAATATCGACATTGCAATACATACATGTTTCCAAAGCGAGAATTTTCCTGAAAAATCAACTTTCTGGTGATTTTTCATTCCAATTTCCGGTGAATTTAATTTTTTTGACCTGGCAAAAGTGATGGCACACTAAGATCTATATCATTCTTGTATGATACATAAACGTACTTTTAATTATTATTATGTTTTCTATATTACCTGATGTAGTCACAAGTTTTAAGATGACAACTAATATAAGGTTTTCAATCTTTGTAAGATTTCTGTTAAATAATTATCTCTTATTAAAAAATTACACAACGCCAATCAAAACAGGCATATATAAGTTTTTTGGTGCAAGCAACTTTTAAAAACCGCTGAAGAAAACTTTTATATGACTGCGCAGAGTATTGAATCAATGAACTGCGCATCATGTAAAAAGTAAAATTAAAAGTAAAAACTTACAATTTTCCTGTTGAAGAAAGCACAAGTCAAAACTTTTCAAAAAAAGTTTCAAAAAGCCACTCTTTTAATTTTTCTTTAAAAAAATCACAAATAAAAAAATTATTATGATCGCGCCTTTTTCCTGTATACAAAAAAGTATAGAGAGCTGAAAACGCTTTTCGCCGGACGCTACCGACGACGAAAATCCATGCAAGCGTCGCGACGTATTTTCCGAAACTAACGGAAAAGTTTCACTGCGCGTTTCCTATCATACGTTACCCCCACCATGGGGCCGATAGCCCCCCCACCATTTTCGTGGGAAATTTTCGGGCGTCGTCATGACGACGACGCCGACGTCGTCCCTTATGGGTTTTTTGAAGGCGTCGAACCAAGAACCACCATAAAAAAACTATCAAAAATACTTAATTTTGTTTGAAGCTAATGTGAGGCATCAAAAATTCAAAAATATCCAATATTTCATATGTCCTCAATCTTTTAAACCGTCCACTCTCTTTTTGTTCCATTAAACTTTGTTGCACCAATTTGCTCGGGGTTTTATAGCAAACGGCGACCTGCTTTAGGAGCCAACGGACGCTTTATGTTTCCTGGATTTCGAGACAAGGACCTTTTGGTTTCAATTGCTGCTGTCACGACAAGTTTTGAAAAACTCTATATTCTATCCTGCAAATGCTCTTTTAGTGTTGAGAATCATCAAAGTATAGGGAAGCACACACACGAAATTATAAATAATGTGATCGAATCGTTTCTCGTTCAGTGTAAATGGGAACCGATAATAAAATAAAGCTCCAAGATAATCGAATCTGTCGTTTTCATTTTTTTTCCGGAGCGCCATGAGAGGTTTTCCAATATTATTTTTATCTCCGAAATTATCGCGTTAAAAAGCTGATTGTCGAAGATATTTACGTAAGTTCTCTTTCTGTATAATAAATTAAAAATATAGTTGCTTCACTTATTTGACACATCATTACAGTCTGGTTTGAAAAAGTGAAGAAATCGCGAAAAGTACCTATATCAGATGACGGTTACAAATCAAGAAGTTTGAGAAAACTTTGAACCGGTTGATCCTGTATCACATATGCGTGCTTTTAGAATAGGTAGTTTAATGAAAATAAGGGAAAATTGTAAGTACTATCATGCCGAGCTTTCAATATTTAAAGTAAATTACTTGAAATTCTACTTCAAATTCATATAAGTACTTTGTGTATTTCACTTGAATTTCTTTTTTGGTTATGTACTTGTACTTGTACTTCCAATATCTATTCGAAAATACTTGGATTTTTACTTGATTATGTCAAATATTTTGCTTGAAGTATTTTGAGCACCTACTTACCTCTAATGGATAAGTTTCTTGATTTTCTTTAAATACCCTTATTTATAGAGAATTTAATGCTCTTTCCAATGGTATATAATTTATTCCAATTTGCTTGAATTTAACAAAGATATGAGCAATTGCTCATGACCAAGTCAAGATTTTTAAAATTTTATAGAGTCAAAAATAGGATTTCCTTTTCATTTTTGTTTTTACTTAAAATAGCCATTTGGAAATAATTTCAAGGTTGTTTTCTACTAATTTTGACCCTCTCTATCGATTGGTAAACTCAAAATTGAGGAAAACTGAAAAATAAGAAAATCGAGTTTTTCATTGAATTATGATTTCAAAATATTCAAAGCTCAATTGCTCGGTAGCTGTTGGACAAATTGCATTGAAATTTTCCAGCTCTTGTAAGACTTATCAAGCTCTAAAAAAACCTGTAATTTGCAATATTCCCAGGTTTATAGTTTTTGAAAAAACTGAATTTAAAATTTTTGACAAAATTTAGGCTAAAAGTCAACTTAAAGGATCAATTACTCAAAAACTTTTTGAGATATCAAATTCAATTTTGCATGGATTTATAGAAAATTTAATGCTCTTTCCAATGGTATATAATTTATTTCAATTTGCTCAAAATTTAACAAAGATATGGTCAATTGTTCATGACCATGTCAAGATTTTGATAATTTTCCAAAGCCAAAAATAAGATTTTCTTTTTATTTTTGTTTTTGATTAAAATGGCCATTTGAAGATAATGTTAGGGTCGTTTTTCACTAATTTTGACCCACTCTATCGATTGGTAAAGTCAAAATTGAGCAAAACTGAAAAATAAAAAAATCGAGTTTTTCATAAGGGTATCCCCTTTGAATTCTGATTTCAAAATATTCAAACCTCAATTGCTCGGTAACCGTTGAACAAATTGCATTGAAATTTTCAGCATTTATAAATTTTATAAAGCTCTAAAAGACCTGTTATTTACAATATTCCCAGGTTTATAGTTTTTGAGCAAATTGAGTTTGAATTTTTTTGCAAAATTTGGACTAAAAATCAACTTAGAGGCTTGATTACTCAAAAATTTTTCAAGATATCAAATTTAATTTTACACGGATTTATAGAGAATTTAATGCTCTTTCCAATGATATATAATTTATTCCAATTTGCTAGAAATTTAACAAAGATATAGGCAATTACTCATCACCATGTTAAGATTTTGATAATTTCCCAGAGCCAAAAATAGGATTTTCTTCTTATTTTTGTTTCTGCTTAAAATGGCCATTTAGAAATGATGTCAGGGTTGTTTTTCACTAATTTTGGCCCACTCTATCGATTGGTGAAGTCAAAATTGAGCAAAACTGAAAATAAAAAAAAAAATGAAGTTTTTCATAAGGGTATCTCTCCTTTGAATTCTGATTTCAAAATATTCAAACCTCAATTCCTTGGTAACCGTGGAACAAATTGCATTGAAATTTTTAGCATTTGTAACTCTTATCAAGCTCTAAAAAACCTGTAATTTACAATATTCCCAGGTTTATAGTTTTTGAAAAAAATTAATTTAAAGTTTTTGACAACATTTAGACTAAAAGTCAAATTAGAGGCTCAATTACTCAAGAACTTTTTGAGATATCAAATTTAATTTTACCTGGATTTATAGAAAATTTAATGCTCTTTCCAATGGTATATAATTTATTTTAATTTGCTCAAAATTTAACAAAGATATGGTCAATTGCTCATGATCATGTCAAGATTTTGATAATTTTCCAAAGCCAAAAATAGGATTTCCTTTTTATTTTTGTTTTTAAATAAAATGGCCATTTGAAAATGATGTTAGGGTCGTTTTCACTAATTTTGACCCACTCTATCGATTGGTAAAGTCAAAGTTGAGCAAAACTGAAAAATAAAAAAATCGAGTTTTTCATAAGGGTATCCCCTTTGAATTCTGATTTCAAAATATTCAAACCTCAATTGCTCGGTAACCGTTGAACAAATTGCATTGAAATTTTCAGCAGTTGTAATCCGTATCAAGCTCTTGAAGATCTGTGATTCACAATATTTCCAGGTTTATAATTTTTGAGCAAATTGAGTTTGGTGTTTTTAACAAAATTTGGACTAAAAATATAATTAGAGGCTCGATTATTCAAAAACTTTTTGAGATATCAAACTCAATTTTACACAGATTTATAGAGAATTTAATGCTCTTTCCAATGACATATAATTTATTCCAATTTGCTCAAAATTTAACAAAGATATGGTCAATTGCTCATGACCATGTCAAGATTTTGAAAATCTCCCAGAGCCAAAAATAGGATTTCCTTTTTATTTTTGTTTTTGATTAAAATGGCCATTTGAAGATGATGTTAGGGTCGGTTTTCACTAATTTTGACCCACTCTATGGATTGGTAAAGTCAAAATTGAGCAAAACTGAAAAATAAAAAAATCGAGTTTTTCATAGGGTATCTATCCCCTTTGAATTCTGATTTCAAAATATTCAAACCTCAATTGCTCGGTAACCGTTAAACAAATTGCATTGAAATTTTCAGCAGTTGTAACTCGTATCGTATCAAGCTCTTGAAGATCTGTGATTCACAATATTCCCAGGTTTATAATTTTTGAGCAAATTGAGTTTGATGTTGTTAACAAAATTTGGACTAAAAATCAACTTAGAGGCTCGATTACTCAAAAACTTTTTGAGATATCAAACTCAATTTTACACAGATTTATAGAGAATTTAATGCTCTTTCCAACGACATATAATTTATTCCAATTTGCTCAAAATTCAACAAAGATATCGGCAATTGCTCATGATCATGTCAAGATTTTGAAAATTTTCAGGAGCCAAAAATAGGATTTCCTTTTCATTTTTGATTTTTCTTAAAATGGCCATTTGGAAATAATGTCAGCGTTGTTCTCCACTAATTTTGACCCACCCTATCGATTGGTAGAGTCAAAATTGAGCAGAACTGAAAAATAGAAAAATCGAGTTTTTCATAAGATGGGAATCAGAGGAAATTTTATTCTAGTGTAGAGCTACTTTTCCTGAAAATTTGGGAACGGTGTGATTTCTGGAAATTCCGAATAAAGCCATTTTGTAGGAAATGTAATCCTCTATCAAATGAAATATGATTCATTGAAATCGGTCCAGGCATTGTAGAGTTATGGCGAATTTTAGATAATGTTAGGTTGGAAAAGCTGATTTCCTCTTTTAATTTTTTTCCAGGCTTAAGAGACATCTTACGGAAAAATGCCATAGGGTTTTTCGAATGTAATACCACACAAGAGGTTTCAGGATTACCGGATAATTCTTTTACCTGTCACGAAACGCGTTACGCAGCAACACTACGACTCCGAAGGAGAAGTGGTGTTGTGTAGCTTTAATACACCAAGAAGGCTTATCACTTTTTAAGCCTCACGTGTCATATGGGAATAATGTTCAGTGAGTTGTATAATCGACTTAGTTTGGTCTGCTCTATACAGCAAAATTTTTGTTTTCCCGATTTTCGATTTTCCATTTTTTGCATGGGAAACATAAAAGCAGGGCCGAGTGAAAACTCCTGAAAAAAAGGGAAATTTAGAAAAACAAAATGGATTCGGACACTTCTCGGGACCTCCTCTATGACGTTATCAAGGAAAAATTCGGAAATTTCTACTTTGGCTTTTTGGTACAAAAAAAAAAATGACGATTATTTCAAAAACTATAAGTCGTAGAGGGAAAACTCATAGAGCTTTTTTGTAGATCTTGTCGAGCTCTACACCTTGTTTCTAGAAAGTTTTTCTCTACGACTTACGGTTACTTAGTTAATATTATAGCCAGTGATTTTCGTCATTTCCAGACTTTCCTGTATCCTAGGTATGGGTCCAAAAACCAAAGTCAAAATTTCGGAATTTCAGTATGGTCATTTTGTAGAG